AGGTGAATAATTAGGAGAAGCAATTGTTATGGGGTTAACTGAAAGGGTTGCATTATCGATCGAATGACGATCAAACGGTAATTAATCAATGACTGAATGAAAATCAAATGGCAATCAAATGGTGATTAAGCAATAATTGAATGTTAGTTAAACAGTGATTTGACGATGATTTAGGAGGTGATTAGACAGCAGTCAAACGCTTTGCTCGTTACTACACTTCTAATGATAGCTGGATATAGAGACGTCGCTAGCATGCAATATACCTTTGGGCCTAACGTAAAACATCGCTTACCTCATTCCAGATGTCAGATGCCGGGTAAGGGGTCTGTCAACCCCGAGGAGTAACAGTGAGCGGTCCAAGGGGCAGACCACTGCCATGCCACCCGCTGCTGTGCAGGAGAGCTCAGTGGGCTTGGGGGCTACAAGCTTTTGTAGCGTAAAGCTATTGACTTGCTGCCAAAACCCCTTTGGTGGATCTTGGTATATCAGGAGTGCAGCTGTGCAGCAGTTTTAATTACGTCTGCTCTCAGCTTGGGCTGATACTCTCAGCTCCTGACAAGATGTGGCCCAGACTCTTTAGAATCATAGAATCACAGAATCATAGAATGGTTAGGGTTGGAAAGGACCTCAAAGATCATCTAGTTCCACCCCCCTGCCATGGGCAGGGACACCCTCCGCTACACCAGGTTGCTTAAAGCCTCATCCAGCCTGGCCTTGAACACTTCCAGGGATGGGGCATCCACAACTTCTCTAGGCAACAGAAGATGCAGCCTAGCACGGGTCTCATGGTCTGCACAGCGGGGCTGGATTCAGTCAGCCCTTCTTGTCGGTGATGCCTGAACCAAAGTGCTGGTCCCTCACCCAGAGTGGAGGCATCCGTCATGCCTGGAGGGAGACGTGGAGGCCGGAAGGGCACTGGCTGCCCGTGGAGAAGCCTACGCTCTGTCTCAGCTGGCACGAACACACCAAAGCTCTTGCGTGGGCAGAGAGATGAGTGCTGGGCAAGCCTATGCCTGCTGGAGAGGGAAGGGCCGTACTCCTAATGAAGGCAGCCGCTGGCACAGAATGTAGGATCTAAAATCCTTCCCTCTGAAAGCCAAGTTACTGTGACACAGATTCAGATTTTGCAAAGGTTGAGTTGGGAAACAACAATGTTCGGTGGTGCTGAACCCCACAGATCAGTACTTGGTCCTTCAGCAGAGGAGGACCAGGTTGGGGAACATATTTAAACAATGCGGGTGTACAGAAGTCCATGGGAGCTGGTGGGATGCACCCCTGGGTGCGGGGAGAGCTGGCAGGTGTCAGAGTGAGACCATTCTCAATTCTCTGTGACTGGTAGTGGTGATCCTGGGGCCTGGATGACAGCAAACATCAGTCCTGTCTTCAGGAACACTAAGGAGGAGGATGAGGGAAGCTGCCGGACAGCCAGCCTCACCACAATCCCTGGGAAGGTGATGGAGCAAATAGACCTGAAAACCATTCCCAAACATAACAAAAGACAAGAAGGCAACTGGGAGTAGTCAGTGTGCATTTACAGAGGGGAAAACCAAGTTTAACCAGCTGTCTCAACAGCTGTGCCCAGGGGGCTGTGATCAGCAGCACAACGTCCAGCTGGAGGCCCGTCACTAGTGATGCCCCCCAGCGGTTTGTACTAGCGCCGGTACTGTGTAAGGTCTTCATTAACGACCTGGGCAATGGGCCTCAGCATGTTGGCAGGTGCTACAAAACCATCAGGAGCAGCTGACATAGCAGAGGCTTGTGCTGCTGTTCAGGGGGATCTGAACAGGCTGAAGAAACGGGCAGACAGAAAGTTCAGCAAAGGAAAGTGTGAAATCCAACACCCAGGGAGGGATGTCCCCGGGCAGCAGAACAACTGCTGGAAAACAGCTTGGCAGAAAGGGGCTTGGGGTCCTGGGGGACACGAGTTCACTCCTGCAGCAGTGGCTACCAGGCCAGCCTCCTGGGCTGCACCAGGCAGAGGCCGAGGGAGGTGATCCTTCCCTCTGCTCAGCCCTGGTGAGACATGTCTGGGTGTCGTGTCCAGTGCTGGGCTCCCCAGTACTGGAGAGACATGGACATACTGGAGTGAAGGGCCATGAAGACCATTAATAGTTTGGAGCATCTGTCATATGAGGAGAGGTGCTGAGAGCTGGGACTGATCATCCTGGAGAAGAGAAGGCTCAAGGGGAATCTTATTCGTGTGGATAAACATCTGATGGATGGAGGGAGTAAAGACAACAGAGCTAAGGTCTTCTGAGTGGTGCCCAGTGACAGGACAAGAGGCAACAAGCATGAACTGAGACACAAGAAATTCCAATTAAACATAAGAAAAAACTTTTTTCACTGTTCAGGTAGTCAAACACCTGGGCAGGTGACTCAGAGAGGTTGTGGATTCTCCATCCTTGGAGATACTCAAAACTGAACTGAACATGTCCCTGAGCACCCTGCGTCAGCTGCCATGCTCCAAGCAGGAGGGAGGACTGGACAGTCCCGATGGGGGACTTTGACTTAATTGCAAACCAATGGAGATGAGAAGGGCATGGCCCAGCACTGCAAAGAATAAACAGGGATTGACTGAACAGGAAATCATCAAAGAGTTCAGCCCCATTTCTTTTTCTAGCGTTTTTTCTCCCTAGGCTTTCAATTTCTTGCATGTAAAAGCACAGAGAAATAGAATCACAGAATCATTTAGGTTGGAAAAGACCCTTAAGATCCTTGAGTCCAACCGTTAACCTCACGCTAAAGTCCACCACTAAACCATGTCCTTAAGCACCACATCTACACGTCTTGTAAATAACCCCAGGGATGGTGACTCAGCCACTTCCCTGGGCAGCCTGTTCCAATGCTTGACAATCCTTTTGGTGAAGACATTTTTCTTCATATCCAATCTCAACCTCCCCTGGTGCAACTTGAGACCACTTCCTCTCGTCCTATCACTTGTGACTTGGGAAAAGAGACTGACACCCACCTCGCTACAACCTCCTTTCAGGTAGCTGTAGAAAGCAATAAGGTCTCCCCTGAGCCTCTTTTCTCCAGCCTAAACCTGAGTTCCCTCAGCCGCAATAGGGGAGATGGCTGTGCCAGCCTGCTCATGGTATGCTAGAATTAAATTCACAAATGTAATAAAAAGCCAATAAAATGTAATGTTCCAGGGACCTGGAGCAAGCTGAGTATGAGCACGGTGTTGTCTGTCCTATAATTGCTACCGTTGCATGAAACCATTCAGCCTCCTGTTGCTCACTGGCCTCATCGGAGCTGCCCATAAGGCTGCTAAGCAACTTCTTGGTTTTCAATACCTTACAGATGCCTCCCCGCTGCACTGGTTCCTGACTGGCATCCAGGTACACGGGATGCCCTGGCTTCAAGTCCATCTGTAGGTGCCATGGACACCCAGGTGCCCAAATTTTTTGTGGGTCCACTTAGTGAGAGCTTTGCCATCAGGCAGTAGAGCATCATACCCCAGGGGATGGGGTATCAGGAAGCAGCACCATGAATCTGACCTGATCGATCAGCTGCAGCATTGTGCTCCTTGCTTCCCCAGCACACCAGGCGACCTGAGCCTCAGCCTGTCAAACCCAGAGGCTTCAATTCACATATCTCTGGGTTAACAGCTTCCATGAATACTGACTCCCCTCAGAGGTTTCCTGTGTATGTCCAGCTGCCCGCTGACCACTAACGCTGCAGTTAATCCCTTACATACCACCCAGAGGGCAGTATATAACTCAGGAGTGGCGGGGGGGGCCTCTCCTAATATCATGAGCATGGTTGCTAAGTCTGCAGGCTGGCTCTCCCCCCACCTTGCTAAGTAAGCTTTGCTTGGCAGGATGACAGGCAGCAGCATCCTTCCATCGCCTCATTCCTTCACATACTTTGCTGGGGTGGGGAGGTGGGGGAGGATGTGTGTGTGTGTCTGTGTGTCCGTCAGTGCGGCTGTGTGTATGGTGGGGCTGCCTGAGCCCAGATGGAAGGTAGCAGCCTCTCTTCACCTTTTTGCCTCAAATTCCAACATGCAAGATTGTCTCCTGAAACAAAGACATCAGCTCAAAAGGTTTTCAAGGGGGCTTAGGACCCAGCAGAGCAGCAGGGCAGCCAGCTTGATGGGCAAGCTCTTTTTTCATCTTTCCCCCATACAAACTGGTTCCTCTTCCTCATTGCATGATTACATGAGCCTTAAAATCTATTCTTAGTGTGGGATAAACTGGTGCCAGTACCCCAGTAATCCTCCAAAGTGCTGCACATCAATTTTGTTTTGGGGCTCAAGCTGTATGAAGTTTTGTTTCTGTAATCTGGCAGGCTCCTTGCCAGACGATGCCTAAAAATTTTACTTCATTTGCTGGTCCCTATACTAATTCCCAACCATGCCCTCACATGGTGCCCATGACAGTGCTCTGTGCCTCCGTGACATCCTGCTGGGCAGATCTAGTCAGCAGGATGTCATCAACATAATGGAGTGGGTGACACACTGGGGACAGGCTGCACTCCTCCCAGGGCTCAGCCACAACCCTGTGACAAATCATGGGGCTGTGCACGTACCCCTGAGGCAGCAGCCGGGGCTGCTTGAAGGCTGTAGGCTTAGTGGGAGGTCAGCACAGTGGTGGGAGCCACAGCTCTTCTTGCCACAAGGTCCCAGATTCGAGCTTGTCAGGTACCAATTGGGATACTGGCAAGATAACGACACCAGGTGTAAAAGGTTTCATATCAGGACTGAAAGTTACGTGAATAAACACCTTGCCCCCAACATTAGCCATGTTACAGCTGCACTGAAAGAAATATTTGTGCCTTTAAAGAGCATGATCAGACTTTTCAGCTATCGGTATTTAATTATACTTCTGTCCTCTATAGAGGAAAACTAACTTTTTGTAGTACAGAGGCAGGCACTAAACTTCTTTTCACTCTATATTTATTCTCACTAGTGGTCCTCTTAACAGGAAAATTGACACTTTGGAATCATCAGTCCTGGCAAGCTATCCAACACCTTTATTTCCAATTTCGTTGTCTATTTGTTGTACAAAATTCAGACTTCCACAAATAGTTTCTCAGAACAGAAAACTAAATGATTTCTACGTAACCAATTACATACAGCCTTTGTCATGTGCAGTACAAAAGGTACACTGTTTGGCTGAAATACAAATTGTTTATCATGCCAAGACTGAAACAGGTGTTAATTACACAGACTAGTGCTGATGCGTACATTTCACAGAGACAGTTGTAGGTACTGCCTTGAAGCACAGAAAAGGTACAGTTCTGAAAAGCTGTACTTGTCTCATCTCAGTTCCCAGCTCTCCGCTTCAGGTTTAGGGGAAAGACTTGGTCCTCCTCCGTGTTCACAGAACAGTTCTGAACTCATCAAAAATGAAGCTAGGCACGTGTGCTTCAACAACCTGAAGTAAACAGAAAGGCACAGTTAGGTATTGCCTTCATTCTCCATCCGCACGCTCCACTCATCCGTTAACAAGCCTATCTAACCTGTGAACCAAGCACACAACATCATTGACCTGAACCATCCCGGCTTTAGGACGTGCTCCTGCTTGATGCACAAAGGGAGGAAGGAACACCATGTCCTGCAGGTAAGGCACGTCCCGGGCTGTGAGACAGCGCCCAGATCACAGGTACTGGGTGAGACTGGAGGAATGCTGACACCCTCTCTGCTGTTTCTCCACATAGCACCAGGCTGAAGCGGAAGCTGGCACAGGTTCCAGGTACATCAGCTGCAAGACTGACACAGGGACTTTCTACTAAATTGTGCTGCAGGCTGGGAGGAAGAGAGAAACTGGAACAATCTCTCTCTCTTTTGAGTTGTATTGGTTGGGAAATGGCTTATTTGAGAATTATTGAGGTACAGCCTCTAGCAAATAGGATAACGATTCATTTTTAATACCACATACAAATAATGTATCACCTTCAAATGCAGTTAAAGGGAGGGGAAGGGGAAGGGGAAGGGGAAGGGGAAGGGAAGACTGGAGATGGTGTTTCACCAAAATTTAGACTTGCTAAATAGCTTTCTGCCCTGCATTTAAAATACTAAGTTTGTTACTACTTAATACTGCAACATCTCCAAACTTTTTCTTCCCTTCCCAAAAGCCCTCCAGCAACATGCACGCTCTTTGAAGATTAAATGGAACAGACTCTTCTTAAATCCACACAAAGCTGAAAGCCTTCCTGTATTTTTTATCCCATCTCTATTTTCTAGAAAATAAATTTTCCATAAGGATACTATGACTAATATATGAATAGTTACACAAAGTTATGCAAGCAATACAATTTGTAGTTTGTGCAGGGTAAAAGAATCATTACGACTCATTCCTATCAGGTAATGGATTTTTCACCCGTATTTCCTTTCGGCAGTCTTTTACAGGCTATCTGAAAAGGGCCAAGGCTGCTTTTTGGACAAGCTTAACAAGTCCATTATTTTGGATATTCGTTTACAGATGACGCCATGTTCCAGAGTAGAGATGCGTGATCAAACTGCTAGTACGGAACCCCAGCACAAACCAAGATTTAGCTTCTCTGAACAGGACCTTTGCTCAATGCTACATATGGGAGACATGGAATTCTTCCTTACCTTTCTTGGTAACTTCGTGTAGCGAATGTAATCTTCCAGGAACATGAGGGCACAAACTACCTCAGCAGGCATTTCTGGTATCTTCTGGCTAAAATTAAACCACCATGAAGATCATACTCTTACCAGCCGATTAGTTATTTGGATAAAATTACATGAAAATGTCAGCCTTCAAATAACAGCATTTCCGCTAGGTACCATGTGATTCCATTACAAAAAGAAATGGCATTTTAATCTCATAGTTAGTCAAATATATTGTTATTATTTAGTCAAATATATTGCTGTTACTATGTCAAATATATTGTGCCAGAAAAACATACTGAAAACCCAGTGATACCACTACTGAAGCCCTCCTCACAGATGTGATACTCAGGGAAAAAGTAAAACACAGATACCTTGTGCACGGTTCCATTGTTGAACGAATAAACTGACCGATCAGAGCCAGAAATTGCTCTGTGTATCTTGAATGAAACTGTTTCAACAGGGTAAGAAGTCCCAGAACTAAGGGAAGCCAGTCAATTTGATCAGCTGGCCGCTTGCACACCACTCCTGCACAGAAGAAAAAACCAACCCAAACCAACACGATCATAAACCAGAACATAATCTTTAGCGCAGAGGCAAACTTATATAATACACTCTCATGAGATTTTTCGGTGTGCCCCCCTTTCTGCATGCCCACACATAGGAATTAAAAACTAATGTAACAACAGCATTTCTTCTGTAGCAAATGGCTTAATGATTTTAAATAAGGCACAGGATGGGGAATGAGAAAGTCAGAAGCTTGGATTCTGATTCCTACTCCATTGTATTTGGCAATATTATAACAAATCTGCCTGGACATGATGGACTAAAGTCAGACACCAAGTATTTTCTGTGCAGATAGTAAAATTATCTTCTCTACAGGTAATTTCACGTTGGTTGTCATTAGATTTAGACAAACAACAACTTATACAATACCTAAATTTCTGTTGCACTGAAGTTTCGGAAACTGGGAAATGAGAAATAGGAAGTTGACAGTGGGAAAATACGGAAGACGTTTTGTTGTTATGTAGATCTGAGGGGAAAAAAAAAGAGGAACAGGGTTCTTGCACATATTTTTTTTTTTGCTCAGTTAATAATCAATAAAATATAAAAAGCAAACTGTACTAAGCCCTGGAATTAAGTCTGACCTTATTTAATGGATTGTGAATACCAGCTGCTTCCAGATAAGCTGTGATTTCATACAAAAGTGTGTTGTCTTCTTTAGGATAAGGTAGTGATGGGTTCTGATAATGTGCTTCAATGTCAGCCAGTATTGCTCTAAAAGGAAAAAAAATGGATTATATTTAATACTTATTCAGATTATCCCCAAATTAACCTTACACAATGCCACAGGTCATACTAATTTAAAAAATTCCAAGACACAAAACCTTTATATGGTTACATGCAAGAGTAAACCATCTTTTTTTGAATATATTTTTACAAACATTCTATTTGTTTCAAAATCAGTGCCCAACGTTTTCACTGTTCTTACTTCTCATCCAGATATGACCTCAAATCCAGGTATAACCAACCAAAATTAGAAGCTGTGCTGTCCATTAGCATGTGCATACATATATTACTTGCCAAGTTATTTATTTTTAGTGTTTTTGTTGGGTTCAAATTCAAACACTGATCAACAAAAACCTGTATACAGACTCCATATTTTGCTATAATTTAGATTTTAAAGATTGCTGAGCTGATAATAATTACATCACAGTCATACATGCAGCTCTTCGGCACATTTTGCTTCTTACTTATTGAGATTTTCCAAAGCAGCAGCCAAATGCTTGGAGTCAAACCTGCAGGAATAATTTAATTCATTGGTAATCTGTCGTCTTAAAATCTGCATCTGACCAACCTGTTGAAACAAACAAACAAACAAAGGGTGGGGTGTTACACTGAATGCAATGAAGGAAGAGTAAAGCCAAACTATGGAAAAACTTAATGAATAACAATTTATAGTTAAAAGGATGACACAAATTCCTCATTACACCTAACAGCTGTAGGGCTGCCTAAAGCAGGGACACGTGTAGTGGTTGGAGCTACTTCCTTATTTTGGTAACAGAGCGCTGATTCACACCATGTGCAGTCAGAGAGCCAGACCCCAACCGTGCAGTGCAGTCAAAGGAGAGGAGCAGTCACGGTGCTCAAGATTTACACACACTTCATGGTAGCAAATGCAAACTGTGTGAAAAGGGCACTGAAAAGGTAACAGGTATAAAACCCCAGTTACTTTCTTTTTATTCACTGGTCAGTGAAAAGGCTTGGACTCTTTTCCCCATCTCTCCTAGACCTTAGGGTCAGCAATGGCAGGGATAAAAACCAACAGAGATGCTTGTTGCAGTCAAGCTTCCCCTTCCTTCCCTGACCTTTCCTCTTCTCTCCAGTAACATAAACAAGCATTCACAGCACTCTGAAAAACACTGGTCGCCAAACATCATGACAAAGACAAAATAAGGAGACATGTTAGCAGAATAGCTTGTTTACATCTTCCGCACAGTAGATTGAATTATGTGTGAACAAGGAAAGTTCAGGCAATGACACTGCTCCAAACTTTAGCCTTAAGTACATTAGGTTCACAAGGCACTGTGGGCAGCCTCAGACCTCCTGATGCTGAGAGCTAACTCGGTCTTCCCAGATCGGATCTCCAGTGCCAGACTCCATTTTTGGCAAACTATTACCTATGAATCTCAGCACTAAGCACTTTGTGGCGTGTGAGCTGTCCATACAAACGAAGCTCAGGAGCTCTTGCAAAGCCAGGCCTGCTTCACTTGTGATGTTACAGAATTCCAGGTCAACATAATACAACACTGTAAAATAGGTAGATTAAAGTGTATAACCAAAGAGCCTAGAGTGAATTCTGCGTATCACTAACTCGTGTACTCCTACCTTCATTATGGAGTCTAAATATGCTGTCCAGATCTTCTGAGTTTTTGCAACTGCTGCGGAATAAATCTTGTTTGAATTTGCTGGGAAAAGAAGTAGAGTGAAGCATTAAGAAGAGAATTAAGAAGAGAAATAAATGCAAGTGTATAAAGACAACGCTGCTCTTCCATCTTAACCAGCAGGCACTTACCTATAATTCCTTTGAGAGGACTGACAGCATTCATAAGTGCTTTTAAGGTATCCTGTACTGTCCTGTCACGCAATATATTTTTCTGAAACATACTGAGGAAATTCTAAATAAAAGAAAGAAAGAAATAAGTAAGTAAAATCCTCAGATGTACTCTATGCTTTAACCTTTGTGGTCAGATTTTTTAGCAGCAGGGAAAGAAAATTTCCACAGATGAAGAGTTGAGGAATTCTGTAGTTAGACTTTGTGCTTTTCGGAGTTATGCTAATCAGTGTTAGGACAATTAGCAGATCCTCCTCATCAATATGCAATACCCACTGTAGACAACTATTAGTTCAACTTTTGAGGAAAAAATGTCTTCATCGATACTTATTTTCCTTAAAAATCTTTAACCAGGCTAGAACTGGATTCTTCTCAGAAAACAAAAGAGAAGAATACTTCTCTCTTTTCATTTCACAGAGAAGTATTAGGAAAAAAGTCATTACATAGAATTGACACCTTATTTATATCATGGTAGACCCAAACAGTCTAATTCTTTGTTGATACTGAGACAGAAAAATAGAAGTTGACCTGAGATTAAGTTTTCAGTATGCACAAAGTGTACCCTTTCAAAAGGCATCCCTTGCAAACCACCGTTTAATGTAACACACAACCTGGTATTGCACAGCACCATTATTCAAGAGTATCAACTTTCACAATTACACGTGTAACTGAAATTTTACCTTTGGGTTAGAACATACATTTTTCAAATGCTTTTGATTTCAATTTACCGTTTCAAAAATTAACAGATTTTTTTTATTTCACCAGAAGTTATTAAACAATAAAAGCATCGTGACCTTGAGAAGTTCAAAAATTACCTGCAGCTCCTTTACAATCATGAAACACAGCAGCCTGTCCAAACCATTGAGACCAAAGGTACCTAGAGTATCTTGTATCTCTGAGAACAGACGACTATTGGTTACTTCCTGATGAGTTTTGATATCATACCAGGTGTTCATTTGGTCAATGTAACACGTGACTCTGAGGAAAAATTAAACAAACAAATACTTCAGAATAAGATGTGGGCAGTTCCTGTGATAATCTGAGTAATGAATTACTTCATTCAGGCAGAGATTTGAAAGACTCTACGTATCTCAGGTGATGTGTAGTTACTCCTCTCTTCACAAGGGTTCTGTCACCCTTCCCTGGTTTCTCTCGCCTCTATGTGTGTAACACATTGTTTTCTTTCTTAGACTAAAACCCCAACTTTTCATAGAATCATAGAATGGTTTGGGTTGGAAGGGACCTCAAAGATCATCCAGTTCCAATCCTCCTGCCACAGGTAAATTTGGTTTTAGATAAAGATGGTGATATGACAGCTAAGGAAAAAACTGTTTGTTGCATATTTCGTTTGTGCATGGTGGAACTGGAACAATCTAATGCACGGTGCTATAAGACAACCTTGTGACACACAGTACTTACTTTGGGTCTGTGATCCTCAGGATTTCTCTACAAAGCCGGCCAATAAATGTTACGGATTCATCCACAGGTGTGAATTTTGGTATAGGAATATGAGTAGACTGGTATATGCTTTGCCAGTCTTGAATCTGAAAAATAAGTTTTAGAGTAAGTTGCAGTGTTACCATTGCACATTTTTAATTAGCTTAGAAATTTTCTTCCTTTTGTTTAATTTAAAAGTAGTACACTGTAAAACAAAACTGTAAATTACACAGAGCAGAATACTGTAAAAACAGAATAAAGCAAATTGAAGAATGAGTCTTATGACGAAGACCAAGCAGAAGATAAGTGCAGAGGTTGAGAGAATTATCAAGACTTCTGGTGAGAATTCCATCTACTCCTTTCTGCATTAAGACTAGTCACCATTTTGTTTGCTAAATTTAAGATCTATTCACTCCACCACTTGTGAAATAGCACAAAAAGAGCTGGTAACTACTGCGGTCTTTCTAAGCCTCTATTCTCATGGCTAACAATAAATACAGAGGACAACTGTGAGTCAGTAATTATTTTCTGTTTTCTTTGAAAAAGAAAGGAAGAATATCGTTCATAGAATCATAGAATCGTTAGGGCTGG